AGTATATTTCCTATCAACTTCTAATTTTTTTCAATAGATATTATCTTACCATAATACTACAGCAAACTGAATATTTTTCCAAATCTAAGTTTCTGAAAACCGTGTCCGTTAAATTAATTTGCACGCAGTCAAACAAGCGAAAGATTGGTATGCTTTGAAATCTATCTGAGTTAGATAAAAACGTAACGACAATCGAATTTTGTGGTGGAAGAAACTATTTTAATATTATATAAAATCCAGGAAAAGTACAAATCTCATGGGTGTCAAATAAATGTCAAACGATAAAAATCAGTTTTATGACAACCCGAAAGCATATTTGGCATAGGAATGCGTGGAAACGTGAGCAATAAACCGAAGTACAGAATTTCGACCGCAAATGAAGAATTCCGTTTTTAAGTACTACTCTAGACGCGAGGTGTTTAATGAAGCTATTAAGAGTATATTGGCCAGATTATAATGAAACATCCAAGAGTAGAGCAGTTAAAATATAATAAATGTAACGCAATGAAATTGTTGTATGTTATCCTTTGGAGTCACTTTGGAGTAAAGTATCTGTAACTGCAACGAAATGAAATGATGAGTATAAAAAAAATATTGCAACATTTCATTGAGGAACATAAAAAGCATCAGCAAAAATGTGCAAAGATATTTATTTATGTTTTTATGGTGTTATGCAAACAATTCTGAAGTATCCGTAATGGTGTTTTTATGTCGCTGTAAGAATATGACAAACATTACAAAGTTCATTTTCAAATTAATTCTAAAATGTTATCGAGCAGGGCAGATACTTAGCATGTATTTGCGTTATCGTAAATGTCATTTGGTTGACATAATAAATCGTGTGCCCGCAGCCAATAGACGTAAAGCAATGTAAAGCAAGTTGCATGCCAGAAGCCAAAAGATACAACGAACATTTTGAAGATTTTATTTAAATCTCAAAAAAAAAAAAAACAACATTGGCTGTACAGAATTACGACTGTGTTATGTTGTGCCTTACCGCCGCCAAGCAATTCACTGCATGGGTGAGAAATAATTTGCAGCGGCATCCCGCCTGGACAAGATCTCTGGAGTCACCTAAAAAATTTACACGCATAAATGGCAAAAGTTGCTTAGTAATGTTTTTGTTTTTTGCATTTTATTCACGGTGCGGTTTTGGGCTAACTTTTCATGGGCTCAAATAGGCATGTGACAGTCGTCTTCTGTAAATCCATTTCTTCACAAATATTGTTAGGTTTTTAACGCATGTATAACATTCACATTTGCATAACACTGTCGTTTATTTAACGACTCGTATGCGTAGATACTAGATACGTACGTGTATCATCACTTGATTTTCTTAGGCTCTATTTGGCTTATCTGCTTCGTCACACGCTGTTCTGACGCTATTAGTGGTTTGCTTCGTTAATGCATTAGATATGCACTTAGTTTAATTGAATTTATTACCTATTTTATATTGATTTTTCAGTGATATACTATAAAAAGGTTATTCAACCTTCGTAATTAACGTAATCAATTACGTAAATATGTACTTAGATATATATTTAAAAAAATCAAATTTTTATTTACTTGAGGTTTTGAAATAATAGCTGTTTAATTTACTCTAACTGTATGTAACTATCAATAGTATTTAGTATCTCACTCATATAATGTAGGTGCTATAATTTCGACAGCCTGTTAGATATTTTGGTTTTTTTTGAAGGGTTTTTATTTTTACTTGAGAAATACGTTAAAGAATTCAAAAAGTTTAATGTTACCACACAAATATATACCAGAAATGCACGAATGTAGTCAAAATTGTGCCAAGGGAGGTTATACTACAAAATATTTCTTTACTAATATTGTTACAGTAGATAAATATAGATACAGAAGATTCGTAGATAATTTTGTTAGATTAAATACACCACTGCAGAAATATTATTGCAGTTAGTACTTTCATATACATCACATCAAGTTGTTAACTACAGCCCCTTCATTTGGTACTCAAGTCTTTAATTCATTATATTATGAATGCCACCACATATTCCAATCATGGTGTAGGTTGTGTTCCACAAAGAGAGGATTGTGTTTAAATGCGATCAATTATATTAAAAATTTGAAATGCCTTATCGCATATTGAAGTATATTAGACTCCTGATTCGGAGATTTTTGTGTAAGTCGATCAATTTTATCACGTAATGGTGCTCTCACAATCAATTTAAAATTAACATGACTGAAGACATGT